TAGCCCTACGGGGCGCGGGTTAACGTGGGGCCCTCTGTCCTCTGAAGTCTAAGGTTGGCGCTGGGCCCTCAGAGGCTGGCTTTGGGCCATCAGAGGCCACCTCGAGGGCCTCGACGGTCAGACTGTAGCCCTTATGCATGTTTAACCCACGAGCCGCTGGGGGGGACATATAGTTGCCCCCCTTCACGTTTTGCGGAATATCTCCGAAACCTGATAAGCTACGAACGTGAAACTCAAGGTAGCTTCAAATGAATACCAAGGCAATGTTTGAGCAGAATTTGGTGGTTTTAGCACTTAAGATGACGTCACAGTGACGTAATAAAATATTGTCGTTTTCCTATACGGACCGTTTCTGATGTCGCTGAGCATGAAACTCAACTGTAAATGAACTAGACAGCACCTGCTGTCATCCTGAAACACCTAAATACACTTCCATCTAGGTCCTGACCAAAAATCGGCCCTTTATATACGGTCCCATATATCTGATATATCGTGAGGAAACTGGAGAGTCACAAATCTATAATTTCACTTATGACGTCACTGTGACGTCATTTCAGATGAAATCGACATTAAATTTGGACACAACCTCGGCTATGTATTCAGGAAAATATGTGCAAAGTTTCGCTTCTCCATCTCTTCGCGTTGCGACGATATCGTCGCAGAAGTAAAGGGGGGCAACTATATGCCCCCCAGCGGACGGCGGATGGCGCGGAGGCCCAGCGGCCGCCGGGTACTTTAACCCTCGCATGTGTAGGGGGGGGGGTCGGATGGACCCCCCATGGTTTTTCGCGAATAACTCGCGTAAAAAGCGGCCGATCGCGACGAAACTTTCAGTACCCTCGCATTGATCAATTTTACACCTACCCTGAAAATTTCATGACCCTGACCCAAATGACCTTTGACCTGTGACCTCTTTTCCGAGACCATGTTTGGCCGGAATCGCGATTTCGCGTTTGTCGGCTCGCACTAGCCGCGTGTTTGCAAGCTTTTCGTGGTTTCAAACGTTCAAACATGTGATTTGATGTTACTCCCGTGTGTGTCAAGGTCACCTGAAGGTCAGGTCAGGTCATTGACCTTTGGTGACCTCGGGTGACCTCGGGTCACTTTTCGAGTTTTACATGTTTCTAGGCTAGTTTTTGGCGCTGAATTCGAATTTAGCAACCATTTGAACATTTACGAAGTAGTTTTGGTGTCTTCGTAACATGTTACGAAGCTGTCAGAGGCGGTTGACACGTACTACGAATACCCGTCACGACGCCTTCTGGTTGACCTGACCTGACCTGACCCGACCTGGTCTAAATGCTTCAAGACATCATCTGTGATCAAAACTAACACGATATTCGTGATCAGCACCCCGAAAAACCCCTTAGCAGCCACACTTTACGACTTTCTAACAGGTACCGATTTTCCCGACTTTGGGTCATTGACCTGACCTGGAAGGTCAACCAATGACCTAGGACCTTAAAATTGGGTATCATCGGCTTCCTCTCGTCACGGGCAACACGCTCGTTTTTTCCGCGAAGCTCTAGCTTGATCAGGGGCCAAACGGCAAGGGGGGGTCCAACCGACCCCCCCCCCTACACATTAGAAGCTGGCAAACGCCGCACTCATGCGAGGGTTAACCCGCGCCCCGTAGGGGGGGCCGAAACGGCCCCCCCTGTCCTTTTCGGTCGATATATCCTAAACGGCTAGAGATATCGCCACCAAACTTTCAGGACCTCTCCGGGCATCAATTTTACACATTGTGACCAACAGAGGCTATGATAGGTTGGCCACAAATGACGTCAGAGTGACGTCATGTTCTGTCATTTTCGACCGAAAAAAGACCTTCGCGAGAAGACCTGTCAGGACTACAGCTTTGAAGATACAGAAAAACGATCAAGACATAAAAGGTGTAGAATTGACAGGGCTACAAAACTGCTATCTCGAATTTATGAAATTTTTGAGTTTTGACCCCCAAAAATCAAAAAAGCATTTTTTTATATATTCGCCAAAAAATCCAAAAAGTTTTTGAGTTTCGAAAAAACCGGAATATATGTGATAGTCCCTGCGCTCTTCTATATACATACCAAATTTCAGATCGATGGGTCGTTTTTTGGCCAAGATATAGCGAAAAAAAAACTGTTCAAAAATGATGACGTCAAATTTTTTAACTCAATTTTAGTGATTCTAGACCACGTAGGGCAAAAAAAGACCACCATTGAACTCCCCGTGACGAGCTGCATCAATTCAATACCCATTTTGTGCAAAAATATCAACTTTGAAATTTGACCTAATTTGACCTGACCTTGACCTGACCTTGACCTGACCTTGACCAAAAAGTGACCAAAGCTGGCCCAAAAGTCTGCCTGACCCACATAATCGCATTTGTCATGTAAAATGGACCATAAAACATGTATCACACGACACTTTCATATTGTGACCCCCCCCGCCCCAGTGACCTGACCCCTGTGGCCTGACCTGACATCAGTGACCTCAAATAGCAAAATATGTGTTTGAAGAACATTTCCCCATCGATGATTTTCAATGAAATGCATTTTACTCGATTTTACAACGCATTTCTTGAAATGCCTGTAAACGGTGAAAATTCGACCTTTGACCTGACCTGCGACATCATCGGTTTGACCTAGGTCAACAAAATTGGGTCATAAGGTAGTTCCCTGATAGGGCTATCCAACACCGGTTGCCGCTTGTCGCTAGGTTGCGTGGTTCTCGAGATCTTGGGGGGGGGGGCAAATTGCCCCCCCCCCCAACGGGGTGCGTTGCTCGGCAGAGCCAAACGGGGCGCGGGTTAATTTGGGGTTCAAAATCAAAGCAAATATATAACAAACAGGATAGCAGTTTTGTAGCGCTGCTCGTTTTATATCTTTTTGTTTTTCAACATTTTCCTTTATCTTTAAAACTTTGGGCTTGGCAGCCCCTCCCATCAAACCTCTTTTGGGTCGGAAATGCCTGAACGTGACGTCACTCTGACGTCATTTGCGGCCCACCTATCATAGACTGTGGAAGAAAAGGTAACGAGGTGTAAAACCGATTTACAAGAGGGCCGGGTTCTGAAATTTTCGCGGCGATCGGCGCATTAATTTGGGAGATAGTGCGAAACGACTGGAACTGGGGGGGGGGCTTAAAACACCCCCCACCAGGGCGCGGGTTAAAAAGTTTCCACTGGGTCCTCTAAAGTAAAGGTAACATCAGGATTGTGGATACGCCGCTGGATGTTCTCTACGATATTAGACTAAGAGCAGTGTAAACACGGGCGACAAAATATGAAAAGGAAATAGGATTGATTGACTTTCACATCGGGTTTGACAGCTTGGATAATATTTATTTGAAGCGCATTATAGGTATTCACTCCAACAGGATGGGCAAAATCTCTTCACTGCCGGGGCAACTGGCAGCCACTGCGGGACATTTGCCCCCTCCCCAGTAGTGCGGAACACCTTCAATTAAGGTGGGGGGGGGGGGGGTGGGGCATTGCCGACTTTTGGTCCCATTCTTTCCATGCAACGCCCATAGGGCTTATGTTAAAATACCGAAATCAAGTTGGCACGATTCCCCGGTGCCCCTCCCCTCCCCGTTCCGCCACCTATGCCCTCTCCCCCGTTACTTCATCTAAGCACAGACATTCAAACACTCAGACGGGTACCTAGCACACAGAGAAGACACACAAAGACTCACACCATCACATACACACCGTTACATTAACCCGCGCCCCACTGGGGGGGGCTATTTATAGCCCCCCCCCCCTCCCGTTTTTCTGCAATAACTTCCAAACCGCTTGACGGATCAACGCCAAACTTTCAGTACCTTCTGCTGCATCAATTTCACACCTTGTGTCAAAATTTGAACTTCGTAGCTACCATAGGTCGGCCGGAAATGACGTCAGAGAGACGTCATGTTCGTCCGAATTCGACGCAAAACATTGAACCACGGCAATCGCTCCCAAGAGCTCAGTTTTTAAGCTAGATCCAATTTCTTTGCATGAAAGGACTCAAAATTGACCGCGCTATCAAACTACTATCTCGGATTTTCAAAATTTTGATTTTTTTTGAAAATTTTATATAATCATATTCAAAATTTAAATTGTTATATTTTTTTCAAAAAGTTTTTGACTTTTCGAGAAAAAAAACCGTAATATATGTGACAGAACGCATGATTATGACTAACTCTGGCAAGTTTTAGCTAAATATCTTCAAAAATGGCCAAGTTATACGCATTATTGCAAAAAATTCACAATAATTAATTTTTTTCAAATCAATTTTTTCAGTACGTATTTGACATCGTACACAAATATAAATGGCACCATCGTGTTCCTGAGCTTAAACTGCATCCAATAGACACCTTTTTTGTTGAAAAATCTTAACTTCAAAATTTGACCTTTTTTGACCTGAAAGTGACCTGACCTAGGCTAAATTTGACTCAAAATGACCTCGAATGACACAGACGACATCAAATTCGAAATATATGGCCTAAATGGACCATAAAACATGTGTCACGTGACCGACGCATGATATAATATTTTTCGTGACCTTGACCTGACCCTGACCTGAAAATCAAAGTAAAAGTTTGGTACCCTCAAGGTATCTAGAGCATCTGTTCACGAGTGTGTAAACCAAAAATGAGGCTGATCTGACTTGTAAGACGGCGGCCAGAGCCCAAAATGTGAACAAGCCAAAATGCTAATAATTTTTACTTTGACCTGACCTCTGACGTCATCGGTGACCTCGAGGTCAATGAAATTAGGTTTCGCTTGACAGTTTTTCCGGGGCTATCAGACGCCGTTTGAATTTTGACAATCTGCACAGTAGTTTCGGAGTTAGGAGGGGGGCTATGAATAGCCCCCCCCCCAGTAGGGCGTGTTATACACAGACCCCAGTGGGGCGCGGGTTAACACATATAGTCTGACTATAGACACAGATGCACAAAACACACTCAGCAACAGACACAGGGACACACAGACCCCCCCCCCCCACACACACACACAGGTCGGCCCGGCTCACCTGATATTCGCCGCCTCCGCCGTGGTCGGCTCCGGTGGACAGAGCTCAGTACCGTCCACACACTGTTGGACCACCCGCTCTGTCCACTGACCCGGCCGGTGGACGCAGTGCAGCTCGTGCGGCTCCGGCTCCTCCGTCGGCCTTTGTTCCTGTCTGGAACTGCGCCGAACATCAACACCCTGAGTGGTGTGTCGGCAGAATCGATCGTGTTCAGTGAGTCGACGGCGCGGTGTCCTGGCCTGATGACGTCAGTGGGGGGTCACCAGGGTTACAGGGACAACACGGGCCGCCGGTCGATGTGCAGTCCCCCCACCCCTCCCCTTCCCTTCCCTTCCCCAATCCCCGGGACAACTCTGCAACTCGGCAAAACAAAACATAATGACAAGCAGACATGTGCAGGGATGGAAGAGGCGGATCTATGATCTCAGTGGATATCTCGACAAGTTGGAGGGTTCGGACCTACATCTCATCCCTCGCCCGGTCAGGGGTTGGGGAGGGGGAGATTGATTAACCCTCGCCCACACATGGGGGGGAGATTGATTAACCCTCGCCCGCACATGGGGGGGGGGTAACCACCTCCCCCCCCCCCCCAGGTAGTCTTTCTGCTCTGCACTCAACATTGTTAGAGCTAGAAGTCTGATTTTTCGTATAGCTGCTCCTCTATCCTTTCTTGAAGTTTCTGTGGTTTTTGGTTTCGGAGATATGACCTTGTTTTTCAGGTCATGTCATGACCCAAATGACCAATTCTCAACATCTTGCGTTGGCTATGGGCCTTGTGAGCTTTTGACACCTTGCTTTCGGCCTTTTTTTGCCAGTCTTACCTCCCACCTATCATGGAACATGTTGTTCGACGATGTACTGATGTCAAGGTCAGGGTCAAGGTCAGCCTAGGCCATCTAAAATAATTGCGTTTTAGGCAGGCTGAATTTACTTTTCGTGAAGTTTTTTGACTGCATTTTTGGTAAAAGCTTCTCAGATCATGATTTCATGTAATATGGACACATAAACAATCGGTGCACACATCAGTATACACACAGACACACACAGACATACAAACACATATAATTGACCTTGACCTAACCTGACCTGAAATGACCTCAGCAGCAAAAATCTGGTCCGGTAGTGTGACAAAGAGGTTCTAGCTGGTTTAGCACCAGAAAACGGCATCGTTATCGGTATATGATTTGTAGCGCACTTGATATGCAACGGTGACCCAACGCACACTGGTCGGAAACGCTCCAGCGAGAGGCCAGCGGCCTTTCCGCAAAAGTTTTTTGCTTGTTATTCCACAACTAGTGAAGCAAACTTCATAAAACTTTGCATACCTTCTCTGTCATATGTAAGCTATCATTTGGATGTCAAGCACTAAATATATGACGTGAATCTGTTAAGTTATGACGTCATAATTGAGTATAATACAGGATCTAGCACCACTTTAAGTCAACAAGGGAAATTGGGAGCTGCTATTCGGGTACCGGGAATGGTTTCATGCACTCCTTGCAAGGTCCAGTGCTTCACTTTAGCATTGTTGACAGCGTGACGTCATTCATGACGTCACTAAGGCCATATAAGTTTTTCGTCAATAAATCCTGATCAGATGGAGCTAGAGAGTCGGGAAAGCCACCATTGGACTCAGGAAGACCTGCCGTATCGAATGATATGCGATATGACCTCCTTCAACCATTTTCGTGACCCGAGGGGCTCCGACCTGACCTTGACCTGAGGTTAACACCTTAAGTTGACTTCACCCGAACACCAAGTATAGCATTCAACGCGCCTGAGCTAGACAAACACGATGATGCCAAAATCGCGGCAGTGCGACCATTTTTGGTAAAGTAATTAACCTAAAACTGAGCCCGTCCCTTGTGGCACTTACCTGACCTAAGAGGCCACTGGCTGACCTAAGACCTTAACCCTCGCCGGCCGAGGGGGGGGGGGGCGGGTGCCGCCCCCCCCCATAGGGTTTTTTCGCGATAGCTCCGAACACGCTGGCGATAGAGAGCTGAAACTTGGCATACCTGACCTTTGATCCAAGCCGGATCTTTTGACACCAACCGCATTTTTGGGTCAGGTCAGGTCACTGACCTATGACGTCATAAGTGAACCTCTGCACGGTCTTCAGATGTCGCAACTTCGCAACGCCCTCACTGCCAGAGGAGATGTCACAGGGAAATGAAACTTGCAGGATCTAGTATCCATTATGAGTCCCACAACTTGTATATCTCGGATTTTTCCTAAAGGTCATATGAGGTCAGGTCATTTTCGTGACCTCACCATTATAAGTCAATGGGGAAAAATGAAAACTGCTATTCTGGCGCCGGGAACGATCTCCAACTATCTCAAGCACACAGAATCGTGATTTGATGCACTCCTTGCAAGGTTAGATGCGTCACTTTTGCAATGTTGACCTTGCGTGACGTCATTTATGACGTCATCAAGTTCAAATTAGTTTTTCGTCAATAACTCTTGATCAAATTGAGCTAGCGAGTCGGGAAAGGCACCAATGGACTCAGGAAGGCCTGCCGAATCGAATGATATGCGACATGACCTCTTTCGACCAGCTTCGTGACCTGGGGGTGCTGACCTGACCTTGACCTGAGGTCAACACCCCAAGTTGACCTGACCCGGACAAAAAGTATATCATTCGACGCGCCTGAGCAAGGCGAACACGATGCTGCCAAAATCGGCGCTCTGCGGCCGTTTTTTGCGAAGTTATTCACCAAAAACTGAACCGTACCCTGAGACAGTTGACCTGACCTCAGAGGTCACCGGATGACCTAGGACCTTAAAATCGGGTACCAATCTCTGCGTCTCGTAACGGCGCACACGCTCGTTTTTTCCGCGACGCGCTAGCTCCACCAGGGGCGAAACGGCGAGGGGGGGGTCGTACCCGCCCCCCCCCCCCCCTCGGCCGGCGCGTATGTAGAAAACCAATAGGTCCGGCGAGGGTTAAAATCGGGTAGTACCTAATTGTTGCGTCTTATAACGGCACACAAGCTCGTTTTTTCCGCGAGGCTCTAGCTCAATTAGAGGCGAAACGGCGAGGAAGTTGTACCAACCCTCCCCGGTCAATATAGAAAACCAATCGGTCCGGCCAGGGTTAAATACCGGAATTGTGATCTAATGTAAAAAGACGGCCCAAGGTAACCCGACGTCAGTGACAGGTGTCCTATATTTGCAGCGTCTTATATTCACGAAGGTTTCAATTTCCACTTTCTTCAGCCGAGTGATGGCTGTCAATAGCAAGGCTCTTTAAATGCAAGCCGAAATCGCCACGCAATATGTGGAAGGCTTTTGATGTCCAATGTCCATGCATACATAAATGCATACATAAAACGCGCTTTTCACAAAATTCATAAACTCAAGCGCATCTGTTTTTAATGACCAGTCAACTACGCATGGATGCGTGCAGGCCACACAGGTCAGCGTAAGCCGGGCGCGGCGGCCGAGCCGAAACTGGGGCGGGGCGGGCGGTACTTGGGTAGGAAGAGCGGCTCCTGCAAATTTTGCGCAAATATGCGCAGTTAGCTTTTATGTTGCCCTGGTGTAAATTTAAATCCTGCTTCATCTCACAAAAAAATCAGAGTGGAACTAGATGGGACTACCTGTTGTTTCCTTACCTAAACTTTGCAGTTATATTCCAAAATCACTGTAGGAGAGCCTTCATAAAAAGCTACAGTAAATCTTAGTTAAGGAAAAGTATACCAAAAATTTTGCACTGACCAGTCGGCAACTTCATAACGAACATTTTGATGCATAATATGTGGGATTTCAATTTGGTGTCTATCAGCAATAAGACTCTGAATATCCGGCTCAAGAAACCTCTTGCTCCGCGTCAGTTTCCGAGTTCTGGAATACCCCATCTTCGGGGGCTGATTGCAGTTATTTTTGGTCACCCGGATTAGTTTTTTTTGCCTAAGTATAATAATTTGATCAATTTCAAATCGATCTATATAAAAAATAATCCGAAACTCCGGAATCGCCCGTGGCCTCTCGTGAGGGCGTTTCCGACCAGTGTGCAACGGTGACAACGGTGACGAGCGTTAAGGGGGATGGGGGGGGGGGGGGGGAATGAAAAGCTTTTATACATAAATAAGTAAAAGTCTATTCTTGAATGAAATGGAAACGGTTAAAATGCACAAAATACGGGCGTCACAAATGCGGTTCACTGAATCATTCTCGTAGGGCCACGTCGGCCGAGTCGTACGTAAGGCCACGTCGGCCACGTCGTGCACCGGGCCGTCGCGCACCGGTGGAGTCCCGTCGAAGACTGTCGGGCCCCCGTCCCGTCTCAGCCCTCGTGGTAGCACAACACGTGGGCCTGAGAACCAGGACAGGGGCCAGATGACACATATGTGCCCGGCGCGGCGGGGCGGACCGACCGCCGCGCTTCAAGCGCCGGCCGTCTTTGCGAAAATACCTAAAAATACCAACGTATTTGCTCGCTAACACCTAGGTTTACCAATGTTTATTATCTCATCCATGCCAATGTTGTACAGGAGGGACATTTTTATTGGTCCACCTATTAACTACCTACCCTTTAAATATCGTGTTTCTAGATGCCATATAAGTCATTCGCCAGGGGGTCATACACCCGCCTCCTGGCCGCTCGCATTAGAAAAAAACGCAAGCTGACACACCTACAGCGTTATGTCGGACTTACAGCGAAGTGATACTGTGTATTGCAGGACCATGACATTTTACACCCAATCATGTCATCTTGCATATCAAAACAATGTATTTCCAAACGAACAAAGAAGTAGCTGTTCAAACTACCTATGCATCAATGGGGATGTACCGGCTGAGGACAGCTGGGGACGTACCGGCTGGGACGTCAGATTTCCCGGGTGTTTCGGAGACCATCTCGTCCACGACATGTCAGATCACATCCCGGCCCCACCCCGTGCCGTGCTGCCACCACACCACCGAACGCCTCTGACCAGCCCTAAGGTGTCGGCGGGTGTGCCTCTTTTCTACGGCCATTTTCCAGCGGCCGGCCGGAGCCAGTCGCAGGCGGCGCTACTGATTGGTCTGTTCGTAACGCGCGGGCCGCAGAAGCGTCTGCTGATTGGTCTGTGCGTAACGCGCGAGCCGCAGAGACGTCTGCTGATGGTCTGTGCGTAACGCGCGAGCCGCAGAAGCGTCTGCTGATTGGTCTGTGCGTGGTACGCGTGCCGCAGAGGCGTCTGCTGATTGGCCAGCTGC